GATCTGGTGCAACAGATTCGTGGGGTTGCAGTACGCTCGGGGCGGGCAATACATTCCAGGGCGCAGATATATTGCACGTTCTTCGCGTGCAATACATCACTGGCAGCGCAATGCAATACAAGTCTCCAGAGCAGTACATTTGCAATACAACTTGCCCCAAAACTATTGCACCACCCCCTTTCAGCTGGACCCCCTTTAAGGTTACCCAAATGGACGCAAGGAGGTTGGCATCTGGGAAGTACTCAGCGAGAGCCCCGCTGAGTACGACAAGGATCGGCTGCGAGCGAGTGGAGGAAGTGAGAAGGAGGCGGGCCTTCTCGGAAGGCTCGGAAGTCCCCCATGCTTCTGAGAAGTCTTCGAAGTTTTCCCCCAAGACGCAAACAACTTCTCAGGCGGCGCGAGGCTTTCTGAGAAGTCCCGCTGCCTTCTGAGAAGGCCTTCTCCTTCTCATTTCTCCCCCTCGCTCGCCGCCGAAAGGAGCCGTTTTGCATCCATGTCTGGGCCGCACCGGCTTACACCCCGCGCCGCGAAGGGACCATTTAATCTAGCATCCAATACCGGGTTATTGTGATTCTTGTGGCTATAGCTGTCAGTATGGCGATTCTTGTGATTCTTCAATCTATGATCCAATACCGTATTATTGTGATTATGAATATATATATACATATATATATATACATACATACATACATACATACATACATACATACGTATGTATACACACCTATATATATACATTCATAATGTTCAGGATGCTTGCGTATGCTATTATATTATATACTTGTATACCATATAATATATAGTATATACAATGTATACAAGTCCTATATATATGCTACAGTTATATATATATATATACATATATGTATGTATGTATGTGTGTATGTACAAACGTGTATATATATAAATACATATATTATGTATCATGTTTGGGGCCTGGGGGCTCCAGGCGAAGCCCGCTGTGAGCCAGGGGCCGCCCTCCGTCCGTGCCGAGGCGCTGCGGAGTGCCTGTTCGGGGGGGGGGCGGGGGGCCCCGGGGGGGGGGGCATGCCGGTGCGCGCGAGGGGGAGAGCCCCGTGCCGGAGAGCGAGGAGGACGAGGAGGACGAGGAGGAAGAGGAAGAGGAGGAGGAGGAGGAGGAGGAGGAGGAGGAGGAGGAGGAGGAGCCGACCACGCGAGGGGGAGAGCCCCGTGCGAGGGAGAGCCGACCACGCGTGGGAGTGGCCCCTCGCCGGAGTGGCCTTTCGGGGCGGGCTCCTCGGGCTCCTCCCGATCCTCGAGCCTCCGTCCTCGGGCCTCCCTGTCCTCCATCCCCGGATCTCCAGCCTCGAACCTCGATAGCTGAGAGTCGTGCTCCCCGGGGGAGGAGAACGAGGAGGACGAGGAGGACGAGGAGGACGAGGAGGAGGCGGAGGAGGACGAGGAGGACGAGGAGGAGGAGGAGGAGGAGGACAACGACGTGGCAGTCGCAGCACCTGGGCGCTCCGAGGGAGAGCCGCCAGATGACCGCCCAACCGCCACGGGCTCGTTTTCCTTCGCTCAGACATCCACACACTTTTTGATCTGCGGGGCGAGAGCGAACCTCTTCCAGGCGGGCTACGCACAGCTTTAATTGGGGAGAATGGGCACGGGAAGGCGGGGCCTCAGGCGGCCAGAGCGGGCGGGGCCCAGGGTGCAGGCGGTGCCGAAGTGGAAGGAAAGTCGACCACACGTAAGAGTGGCCCTTCGCCGGAGTGGCCTTTGGGGCGGGCTCGTCGGGCTCCTCCCGATCGCCGAGCGCGACGCGATATCAGCGGCCCGCGCACTGGGGTTTGGCTCCCTCGCGCCCCCAGAAGCTGCGCACCAGAGGTCACTCTTACCCAGGGTCACTCTTACGTCTAGCCGAGAAAGGTTCACGTTGGCTTGGCATTGCTTGGACGCGTGCCTCTTTTCCCCGGCGAGGGCCATCGAGGAGCATTTCCTCGGCCATCGGGCCAAGGAAAACACGCCGGCATTTCCCCGTGCTGGAAAGGTGCACAGTCCCGAAAACCGTCCAAAAACCTTCCAAACAACCTTCCACAAACCTTCCAAAAAACCTTCCAAATTTAGCGAGACCGCCCGATACATTACAAAAGCCGTCCAACAACCTTACAAACAACCTTCCAAAATCCTGGGGTGTGGCATGCCGGTGCGCGTGAGGGGGAGATCACCGTGCTGGAAAGGTTCGGTGGCCCCCAGACGGTGCGGTGACCACACCGTGCGATTCGGGGTCACCGCACGGTCTTGGGGCTCGGGTCGTTCTCCGATGACGTCTCGAGCGGCAGGGGCCTCCGGGGTCCCAAGACCGTGCGGTGACTGACCGTGCGGCGAGGTCTTGGGGGATTTCGAGGTCACCGCACGGTGCGTCACCGCACCGCTTCGGGACGCCCAATGGAAAGGTACACATGTTCATTTCTAAGCCTTCGAAAGTTCCTTGATGTTTGTCCCGGGCCTCTTCCTGACCACTAGGGGGCCAGGAAGAGTCAGAAGCGAGCACCATGAGAAAGGAGCAAGATTAGAGATGGACGACGTGTGCCCCCACTTCGTCCCATGCGGCTGCTGGAAGCACACTCCTCCTCCTCCTCCTCCTCCTCCTCCTCCCTCCTCTCCTCCTCCTCCTCCTCCTCCTCCTCCTCCTCCTCCTCCTCCTCCTCCTCTTCCTCTCTCATCTCCTCCTCCTCCTCCTTCCTCCTCCTCCTCCTCCTCCCTCCCTCCCTCTCCTCCTCTCCTCCTCCTCCTCCTCCTCCTCCTCTTCCTCCTCCTCCTCCTCCTCCTCCTCCCCCTCCTCAGCACACCAGACGACTGTGCGAGGCGGCGCGGCGGCAGCGCCACTCTGGCACGCGAGGGGCCGCCCTCCAGCCGCGTGCGTGCGGGCGGCACGGCGAGGGCGCCACCTCGAGGCCGCCCGCCCTCGGCCGGTGCACCTGTCATGAGCTTTGCCGGCGCCTCGCGCGTCGCCACCGGCCCACCCAGCAGCGTGACGAGGAGGAGGAGGAGGAGGAGGAGGAGGAGGAGGAGGAGGAGGAGGAGGAGGAGGAGGAGGAGGAGGAGCACGCAGCGGGACAGCGAGAGGGGAAGGGGGGGAGCCGTCGAGCCGAAGCCTGAGATCCCAGCCGCGCAGGCCCAGGAATGAGCCACACACGCTGTCGCAGCCCTCTCGGGCGAGGGAGAAGAGAGAAGGATAAGGAGGAGACTTGAGGGAGAGGAGGAGGAGGAGGAGGAGGGATAAGGAGGAGGGATAGGAGGAGGAGGAGGAGGAGGAGGAGGAGGGGAGGAGGAGGAAGGAGGAAGGCGAGCACAAGGAATGCGAGCCTGACGCAACACGGTCCCACTCAATGTCTGCTGAAGTCTGAATGGGAGGAGCAGGAGGAGGAGGAGGAGGAGGAGGACGAGGACGAGGAGGAGGAGGAGGAGGAGGAGGAGTGAGGAGGAGGAGGAGGAGGAGGAGGAGGAGGAGGAGGGGGAGGATGAGGAGGAAGATGAGGAGAAGGAGCAGGAGGAGGATATGGAAACGGTGGGAGAAGGAGGAGAAAAAGGACTGGGGAGGAAGACGGCGACGGCGGCGACGACGATGGCGACGACCGTTCAAAAATAAAGCCGTTTGCGGACGCGGATCTTTCGCTTTGGGAGCCGAGTGGATGCTTCTCGAGGACCTATTGGGGCAAGTTCGAGGGCCTCTACTTGGGTACTTGGGCCTTCTTGGGGCTCTCATTGGTCCCTCTCCTCGGGGGTCCTTCGGTCCATCTTGGAGGCCATCGAGCCAAAAAGTGGGGCGTCGCCGATCAGGGTCACCCCTCTTGGGACTCCTCTTGGGCCATCTTGGAGCCACCAGGCGGCCCCAAAGGCCCCTCGGAAGCAGAAGGTCGAGAGTGCCAAACAAGACAAGCGTTTCCCAGAGGGCCCCCCTGGGCACTCGGCACCGTATCGGGGCGCATTGGCGACATGTCGGAGGACAGATGGAGCAATCTTCAACACCGCACTCACTTCTATACCCCTGGGTTGGTGTATGCGCGGCCGTTTTTGCGCGGGCATGTGCGTGTATGTGCGCAGCATGTGCCAGGCATGTGCCCAGCCTGTGCGGGCGCTTTTCGTTGAATGTGTCATTGTGCGCACATGCCTGGGCATGTGCGGGGTTATGTGCGCTGGGTTTGTGCGCATGCATTGTAATGCACACGACCGCATCCGCGGACGCACATGTCCGCACATGCGATACTTGTGCGAGCATCTAAGATTGGCCAGTGGCTCATGCACGCGCATGCGCTGAATTCCGCGCCTGCACATGCGAAACATGAGCGGAGTTCGCGGCTGGTCAGTGGCACATGCACGCACATGCATATCCCCCCACCAGTGGATGACAGCGCGGGCCCGTGTATGTGCGGCCTGAGACATCCTCTCAACTCTGGGCTTTCGAGATACCTTGCGCTCAGGTGGTCAGGCCCCTTTCGCCTGAGGCATCCTCGCGTGATCTACATTACGGGAGCGTTGACCCCATTATTGTGTTGGATTGGTGTTATGTTATGCCACATCCCTTATGTGGGTATGGTGTTTCAGTTTGAGTGCCAGCCGCATTAGTTTCTTTCGTTCCCCTCGCTTCTTCCCTCATTCCTCTTTCCTGCTCATTTGTCCCTCCCTCCTCCTCCTCCTCCGATCTTTCGACTCTGCGGCATGTGCGTGCATGTGCGTTTTATGTTTTCAGAGTTTTGCCAGACTGTGCATCGGACTGTGCGGCATGTGCGCGCATGTGCGGCAGTGCTGTTGAGGCTTTTGTGGAGTTGCATGGGCATGATGTGCATTCGATTGTGCTGCATGTGCCTGCATGTGCGGCCCCTTCTGGTCTTCAATTTGAATGTGAGCACCACAGAAATGAGCGCTATAGAAATGAGTCCTGTGTATATACATATACATATACAGATGTTTGTTGTTGTTTTTCTTTTGCCCTAATGCTTTCATGTTTCACCCTGCTCGCGCGCCGTCCAGCGCAAGGCTGACGCTCGCTCGCGTCGGGCCCTGGGACCCTCACAGATCGATCCGGTTAGAAACATGACGCAGAAAGATTCCGTTGCCATTTTGGCTTAAGGCAGCGACAGAACCCCACGTTTGAGACAATGCGTCCACAGGTTCATACCTATCGGGCTCAGGCTCAGCACCATGCGGGGGTATTTCCAGGGGGGGCGTTTTTCTGATGACATCCTTCCTGGTCAAGGGCATGCGCGACGACGGTATCATGGGTCTTTCCTTCAGCATGGACGTTTCCTCGTTCATCACTGCGTGCCCAGATGATGATACAATCTCTGATGCTCCCATGCGCTCTTCTGGCACGCTGCGCAATCGCTCCGCTGAGATGACGTTTGTTGGCGCGACGGTCAAAAGCACTGCTGAGATGGCAGCCTCTCTGTCCAAGGATATCCGCAAGGGCTTCGTCCCCTGCCGCTGGCCCCCTCCTCTCGGATAGTGGGCAGTGCAAGAGCGAAATCAAAGGGGCCTCGGCGCCGCCGTGAAGTAGCGTCGGGACTTCACGCGAAGACGATGAGTATTCGGCAAGACAAATTGAGATTCGGATGATATTGTTGAATTCGGTGTGTTGTATTTCGAGCTTGCTCGCGTACGCTGTGAAAAAAAAACGGTTACGCAAAGAAATGTTGCAGACCCCATGTGTTTTTGTTTCACCCTGACCCCACCGATCTGCGTGAGGGGTGCCACCGGATTTCAAGACATGTCGCAAATCCCATATGTTTTTTTCGACCCCTGCATGATGAGTGCCACCGAATTTCAGAAATGTGGCAAATCCCATGTGTTTTTGGACCCTGACCCTTCGATGTACGTGAGGGGGGCCACCGAATTTCAAGACATGTGGCAGCTCCCCTTGGTTTTTCGACCCTGACCCCGCCGATCTGCAGGAGGGGCGCCACCGAATTTCAGAAAGGTCGCAAATCCGCTGTGTTTTTGGACCCTGTGGTGTCGCCGAATTTCAGACATGTGGCAAATCCCATGGGGTTTCTCGACCCTGACTCCGCCGATCTGCGTGAGGGGTGCCGCCTGATTTCAGAATTGTGGCAAATCCCATTGGTTTTTCGACCCTGACTCCGCCGATCTGCGTGAGGGGTGCCGCTGGATTTCAGACATGTGGCAAATCCAGTTGGTTTTTCGACCCTGACTCCGCCGATCTGCGTGAGGGGTGCCACCGGATTTGATACATGTGGCAAATCCAATGAGATGTTCGACCCTGGCCCCGCCGATCTGCAGGAGGGGTGCCACCGAATTTCAGAAAGGTAGCACATCCGCTGTGTTTTTGGACCCTGACCCCGCCGATCTGCGTGAGGGGTGCCGCCGAATTTCAGACATGTGGCAAATCCCATTGGTTTCTCGACCCTGACTCCGCCGATCTGCGTGAGGGGTGTCGTCGAATTTCAGAATTGTGGCAAATCCCGTTGGTTTTTTTGATCTGCGTGAGGGGTGCCGCCGAATTTTAGAAATGTGGCAGCTCCCCTTGGTTTTTCGACCTGACTCCGCCGATCTACGTGAGGGGTGCAACCGAATTGCACAAATGTGGCAAATCCAATGGGTTGTTGGACCCTGACTACGCCGATCTGCGTGAGATGTGTCAATGTCGACCCCCCCACAAATTTTGAGAACCCTCCCAGGAGACGCTAGAATTGCTGGTTTTCGGCTTCCCCCCCTGGCGCGGTTTACAATAAGGAACAGTTGGCAGCATAAAGCAATATTGTAACAGTGGAAACTGGAAACTGCAGCTGGCGCAGGGAACAGCAAACCCTCAGCCTACAGCCTGGTGGCCCCACAAGGGGGCCGGCGGATCAAGCCTGTGGACGTTCAGCAGGACTGCGTTGCCGATTGCTGGCTAGCATCTGCCATTGCCAGTATGTCTCGTTTCCCAAATGCAGTGAGAAGTGTTTTCGAGCAAGAGTGCGAGTCGAAGGGCCATCGGTATCATGTCATGCTCTATAGCAAGGTTCAGCGGGCATGGGTGAATATATCGATCGATTACAGAATTCCTGTGGATGGTAACAGCACCAAATTTACACAGGTTTCGGACATGGGCAAGGTTGGCCTAAACTGTTGGAGAAAGCAGTCGCACAACTTCACGGTGGCTACGAGAAGCTTGAAAACAAATGGAGTGAACTAGCACTCAATCTATTGACCGGTGATCAGGGGTCCATTTCATATGTGCTCGTGGGACGAGGAGGGTGGTCCAGTGCCATAGTAACTCCTGCAAGCCAGGTCATGGCAGCTGGTATGTTCAGCGGGGCTGACCGTGAATGCCCTTCGGCTTGCCACCAATGTCACCTAGACCGAGTAGAGGGAGGTGTCCATCAGTTCGTGTATATTCCTGCGAGCGTCTACAGACCTCTGACCTCCCATTGGTTGGCTGGTGGTGCCAAGAGAAAGACGTGGCAACTCCTAAGAATTGTGCAAGATTCGATCTTTGCGAGAATTCGAAGGGTGTGTTGGCAGATTGTCTGGTGTGCTCAAAGGCCGACGGCGATGATTGGATGCCAATGGCACATGAATGCAAGCACGCCGCTAACTCTAGCTCGCGCTGACCGTCAGCGAGTGATGTCATGCTACCTTTCCGAGGTTTGCAGCTCCCCAGAATGAATGATAGCACGACTTTCGTCGTCGAGGCATGGGATCCTGTAGTGGTTGTGGACGTTGACAGCGACGGTGATATCAGAGTCCGTAGCGCGGATGGCGTGGAGAGCAATTGGATCCACCGTACACTTTTCGCTTACAACATAGATAAACAGAGCAACGCCTCGCGGATATGCGTAGCCTTCACTTGCTTAAACGGCGAGGCACAGCGCTCAGACGGCTTGCTCGCTGGCCATGAGCATTCCATGTTGCATGTTCATGAGTCCGAGCCAGGTAACGCAGCACAAGTGTGCAAGATTAAGGATCGCGTTGGCTTCCAGCATTTCTGTAACTCGCCTGACAGTCAGAATGCTGCATGGCACGATGTAGACATCAAGCCCATCAGTTCTTCACTGCGCTTGGTGCGCGTGCGCAATCCTTGGGGCGGCGGGGACATGTGGAACGGAGCTTGGTCTGATAAGGACCGCACGTGGCAGGAGCACGCAGGTATGGCACAAGCAGTTGGCATGGAGCCAGCCGAGGACGGAGCGTGGTGGATGACCTTTGAAAATTTCAGCCATTCCTTCACCCTCCTCCTCCTCCTCCTCCTCCTCCTCCTCCTCCTCCTCCCTCCTGACGGTAGTTTGGGAAGCGTGGACATGCTGACATTCATTCCTGGACAGATGCCGAACCGGCTTCTGCCGACGAAATCATGGGCTACATCGATGTCGTTATCGTTTGTCCGTTTCCTGCTTCTCCGCTGCTTTGTGTTGTGAAGTGACCGTCAAGGCAGTCAACCGTCTTGTATTATGTATGCATATCGTTGTACACCACTGTGAAAAATGCCCCGCCCATCCCAATCGGATTCCCAATACGGCACTCGGGATGATCAAGAACGCAGCAGGATGGCATCATAGTCGTTTCGCTGTAGTCGCAGAATTTCTTTCAGATGGTTCGACGCGATGAGCATGTCATTGTGTTGCGCGGTTCACGCCTCTGTGTTCGTGTCTCAAATGTTTTCCAAGGGCGTCTAATGGCATATCCTCCAAAAGGGTTCAGTGACGCCCTGCCAGGGCCCCCTGGTGGCTCTGGCTCTCAGGGGGCCGCTTGGACCGCCCGACGCGGCCTGACGAAAGGGCACGACTATATATATATATATATATATATATGTATGTATGTATGTATGTATGTATGTATGTATGTATGTATGTATGTATGTATGTATGTATGTATGTGTATGTATGTATGTATGTATGTATGTATGTATGTATGTATGTATGTATGTGTGTATGTATGTATGTATGTATGTATGTATGTATGTAGATGTATACGTATAGATATTCATATAGAAATACACACATACATATATATATATATACATATATGTATATATATATATATATAGATATACCGAGGGGCGTGGCCGGGGGGGTCCCGCCCAGGGACCTCGGCGGGGTATGAGGAGCCCGGGGCCTTACTTTCCTTTTGTTTTTTAGCAGGTTTCGGCCACCCGGAGCCACCAGAGCCCCGGGGGACATGGCTGGGGGGGCCCGCCCAAGGACTTCGGCGGGGCATGGGGGGCCCGGGGCCTTACTTTCTTTATGTTCTTAGCAGGATTCGGCCACCTGGAGCCACCAGAGCCCAGGGGGACGTGACCAGGGGGGTCCCGCCCAGGGACCTCGGCGGGGTAGGGGGGGGCCTGGGGCCTCCCGAGCCGTCTGGGAGTCTAGCACGATCGTGACGTTACCTGTGGCTGGGGGCGGCCGAGGCCGGTAACGGCCGCTCCCGCGAAGCATGACAATTAGCTTGGCGAAGGAGCCAGCCTCATGCAGTTGTTAGTGCCGCAACTGTGAATCTCGTATTCGGTGGCATTCCGTGTGGGGCCACGAAGCGGGTGAGGGGTGTGCCGACATGGGGCGGCGGTGTCATGCAACCTTTCCCACTGTGGCCTTAGGTGGAGCTCCCTATGGGACCACGAAAAGTGTGAGGGCTGTGCCGAAGTGGGGCGGCGGTGCCATGCGAACTTTCTCACTGTGGCCTCAGGTGGATCTCCCTATGGGGCCGCGAGTCGTGTGAGGGGTGTGCCGAGATGGGGCGGTGGTGCCGTGCAAACTTTTCCATTGGGGCCTTAGCACTGGGGCCTTCGGTGAACCTCCCAGTGGGACCGCGAAACGTGCGAGGGGTGTGCCGAAATGTGGCGGCGGTGCCATACGAACTTTCCCATTGTTGCCTCCAGTGGAGCTCCCTATTGGGCCACAAAACGTTTGACGGGTGTGCCGGCATGGTAGACTGATGTGGGGAGCAGAGGCAAGGAGGGGGAGGAGGGAGGAGGGAGGAGGGGGAGGAGGGCGGGAGGAGGTGAGAGGACGCGCGGCGCTGTCTCTTCATGACGAGGACCCAACACCACAGGGTGGTTGGGAAAAAAGAAAAAAGGCTCTGTTATCGGTCGCCGCACGGTTTTGGGACTCGGGTCGTTTTCCGAGGACGTATCGGGCGGCCTGAGCCTCAGGGTCCCCAGACCGTGCGGTGACGGACCGCGCGGTGAGGTCGCTGGGGTTTTCGAGGTCACCACGCGGTCCGTCACCACACGGCGCTGGGCCCCCAACTCTCGGCCCCGTCTTCTCGGCAGTTCATTTGTTGGTTCCTCCTCCTCCTCCTCCTCCTCCTCCTCCTCCTCCTCCTCCTCCTCTCCTCCTCCCTCTGGTCGTGGGATAGTTCGGGCCTGCGCTGACGATATTGGTGGTACGACTCGGTCTGTGGCGGACCTCGTCCCTGTACATCGGGTGATGGTCTTGGCGGAATCGTTTGCTAACCTCTCCCTGAAGCTCTCCAAGTGCCTCCTGGTCCCCCTCTCGGGCGTCTTCTCTGAGGAGCTGGCTGCTGCTGTGGCCGAACAACTTCGTCTATGGGTCCCCGAGTGGGCCTCCTTTGGCGTCGTGGAGGAGCTGCAATATCTGGGGCTCTGGCTTGGTCCCTCTGTGACCGTTGAACGACAATGGCGTGCTCCGTTGGCCAAGATACAGCATCGGGCTCAAGCTATTGGCCGTGGGACAACCCCGCCCAGTCTATCGGCCATACTCTATTGCACACGTGCGGTCCCGACATTATCATATGTCGCCCAGTTCTGCCACATGCCGCTGGTTGTTCTTCGCCTGGAGCTCATGATCTTGGCGCAGGTCTTCCGGGTAGCCTTGGGCACGTTCCCGCTTTCCTGCTGGTCCCTACTTCACGCCTGGGGAGGTCCTCGCATCACGCGCTGGGCCTTCATGGGATGTGCGGCGCTTGCCCGTGCAGCTCTTCATACGTTCCCGCAGTACTACGACATCCACAATCGGCTCCGACATCATGTGGCTACTCATCCTGATTGGTGCACCCTGGAGATGCTTGGCTCTGGCAGATGCTACCCGCACTTCTGGCGCTCGGAGGCGTTCGTGGAGATCCTCCAGCGGGCTGCTGCTGGTACCCGCACTGGCTCACCGTCACCGTGCTGGTCTCCAGACTGGCCTGCTGTGGCTGCGGCCGCGGCGCGTGCCGCGCTGGCCGAGGATACAGCCCATCGTCCTCGCCCTCAACGTGCTGCTCATGCTGCTCTGCGTGCTCTTGGCCCCGCCGTCTCGCCGCTGGTGTCCCTGCTCCAGACGCGCCTTGCCAAGCTGCTCCCACGGCACGCCTCCCTGGTCACCTCCCTCCCGTGGGACTCAATCGCGAGCACGTTGGCATCCTGCCCCTGCTCCTGGGCCTGGGCTGCGCTTCGTACCTGGGCTGACGGCTGGATGACGTCGTACCGCATCCTGCACCCCCTTGGCAAGCGTCGCTGTGCCTTCGGGTGTCCTGGCTGCCCCGACGCTCTTCGACATTACGCCCGTTGCCGCCCCTTTCACCGCGCTCTTCGTCGTGCCCTGGCTCGCCCTCTACCTCTGCCTGTGCTTCATCGATGGGGGCTGCTTGAGCCGAATCTGCCCGCCTTTCACTTCCTCGCAGTCGCGTACGCCGCCTACAACGCAGCCAAGTGTGTGGAGGGATGGCCGCTTTCGGACGAGTCCGCCTTCTCATGTGCCCTGGCTGGGGTGCGCTCGGCGGCGTTGGCTCGCCCAGTTGGGATCTCGGCCCGTGATCGCTTGCGGCTTCGCCCGCGCCGTACGTGTCCCTCGCCTTCGTCCTCCTCGGCTTCCTCTACGAGTTCATCTTCGTGTCGCTCGCCGAGGCTGACCCCGCCTGTCTCTGTCTCGTCTAGCCGATCTGCGTCGCCACAGCCGCCGTCGCCTGTCGGTGGCCTCACTCCTGCTGTCTCCTCGCCGTCGACGCCCCCTACTGAGATCGCTACCGACCCTGAGGATATTGAGTCGCGTGAGCAGGTATTTCCTTCTCAGATCCAGAGGTGGACCAGTTCGATCTCGATTGCCATTTCGTCGAGCTCGTCGCCTTCGCAGTCCTCATCTGACCGTGACCGCCCTGCTCTTCTGCCCGTCTCGTATCCCTCGCCTGGTTACTTGTCTTGCACCTCCTCCAATGCCACATCCCCGATTGCTGATCGCCCTCAATATGTGTTTGACTCCTCTGGGGACTGTAGTGCTCCCACGGTCCCCGCTGTCACGGAGTCTGCGGGCCGCTGTCCTCTCTCTCCTCGCTCCCCTCGTCCTCGGGTGAGTCTCCCTGGTGCTGCTGCTGCTGTCTCCCCCGACTCTCTTCCCCGCACGCAGCCTGCGTCCTCGGCGAATGCCCCCGCGCTGCGGCTTGGGCGCGGCATTGGCCGCCTGCCGCCGCGATAGGAAGGCGTGACGAACCTCTCCTACGCTGGTCTCCTCCTCCTCCTCCTCCTCCTCCTCCTCCTCCTCCTCCCCTCGGCGGTTCATCTATTGGGGCCCGTGGTTTGGGGCCTTATGGATGGGAAGGGATCCCAGGTCGACTGCCGCTCTGGGTCGGGACTCTTTTAGCGCTTGTCGCTCCCCGTACCCTTTCCTTTCCTCCCTTCCTTTGGAGTCGGCTGGGAGTCTGAGGTGGCCTAGCATTGGGGGGGGGGCGGGGTTCGAGGCCCTGGGTTCGAGAAGGTTTTTGCCTTCTCCAGCTTCTGGGAGCCATTTTCGGGCCCCGAGACCGTCAAAAACATATCCGGGATGATAATTTGCACCAAGGCCGCGGACGGCTCGAGTCTGCTCGTGAGAATCGGCCTCTCACATCGTATGTCCACTGCCCCACACCATCGTTGCAGTGGCCCCCATGCCATGGCGCCCCTCCGCCGCGGCTGAACGCTCCGCGTGCGCCGCTGGCGCGGCTCAGCATGAACATCGGAGTGCCCGAGGCAGGAGGTGAGCAGCTTCGCCCCGCGACGTCCACCTTCGAGACAGCGAAGTTCATCGGCTGGAACCCCTCTTCCTTGCTGAGCCACCACGGCCGCAGGTCGGCCATCAGCTACGAGTTCAGGGACCAGTGCGCGATGCTGTTTCCTGGTACGCACGTCAGACAGGTCGCCCACCACGCCCACCGCAGCGAGCAAACTGACGGACATTTCCGGGTCCACTGGGGATGGCGACGCAGTCCAATCGTCACAGCACCATGCGGATGTG